TATATATATATATATATATACTCTCTGGTTGAACATGAATTGCTCTATAGGGTCCTTGTAAAAATTTCACATCACTATAATAATAACAACAACTTAACGAGTGTAATCCCATATAGTGGGGTTTGGACTTGTGGAGGTAGAGATATTGTTTTTAATAGATTCCTGGCTCAAAGAAAGCATAAGCACAATAAGAATAATAAATACGATAGTGTAAAAATCATGTGAAGAAGTAGTAACTACACCCAAATAGTAAGATGATCGAAGAGAAAGAAACAACACTCAGTAATAAAATCTAAGAATAAGAAAATAAGAGAACGCATTGTAATACAACTAGTGTGGAAAAGAAAAACGTTCGACTACCCGCTACCCTCTTACCCTAATTTCGACCTCCACACTCTGTAATTAATGGTTATGTCGTCGATATAAGCTGAAGATAAAATATACATCACTACTTAATAAAAATTTAATTGCATGTTAGACACTCCATGAAAAAACTTGTTTCGTTATGTCATTTTACCATAAGCTTTTCTTTCCTATTCTTTTTTGACATTTTATGACTTTTTTGGCTGCCCCTTTTTCCTTCAACGTTTGTAATTCTAGGCAGTCATCAATGGCCATAAATAGAAAAGTTAATTTATGTGAATTTTAAGTGGAAGATACCTTTTGTTAATGACTTATTTGAGAAAATTGACTAATCCAAGCACTACTAAGACTAGAATAAAAAGATTTAATTGAGATAAAGTTAGTACTCATCTATCCCAAATGACTTTGATCCTACAATTAATCAAAATCAAAGCACCATTATACGATTGCCTCCCCTGCTGCAACAGCTCACATATGTTAATGATTGAAGTTCTCTTGTAAATTAAGAGGTCGTTTGGTTGGAAACAAATTATCGTATGATTAATTATCCTGGGATTAGTTATTCTAGGATTAGTTATCCCGTCTTTCCATAGGGATAAAAAGAACACTACAATCTCGGGATAACTAATCCCAGGATTAATTATACCACAATTTTATCCCAACAAAACATGGAATAAACTCATCTCAAATTTAATCTCGCCTCGTACCAACCGAGCCCATTCAAATAAGACCTAGGTAAAGGTACTAGAAAAAGGAAATTAAAAGTGACTAATTAACCCATTCTCTAAATTTATTTAGGAAAAATGTCCAAATTTGGTCTTTTTATTATTCAAAAGTGTTTAATTTTATTATATGTTAGTAGAATTTTAGTCGGTTCATAAGCAAATCGTCTCTTATTGTTTTTATCATTAACATAACTCCAACGGGAAATGTATGAGTTTACGTGTCCAAATTCTTCAAGAAAAAAGTTCATATTTACTCCTTAGCTTTCGATTAAAGTTTAAAACTATTTTTAAGTTGGAGCTTTATTAATATTAAGAAATAATTATTCAATTTTAAATAGTATTCCCTTCGGTCCATAATAAGTGACCAATTTATTTTTTTATTTAAGTCCAAAATAAATCTCGATTTATATAATCAAGAAAAAATTTAATTTATTTTTTTAAAATTATACTTATATACGTATCCCTAAAAAAGTCAGTTACTCCTCATATTTAAGAAGAAAAGTAAGTGCTACTATAATGACGCCATAACATTTAATTAAGAATAGTTTAATCATATTAATTATTTTTGTCTAGATTTTAATATTTTTTTAATGGGTATATTCAAAGTAAATTGATAAGTAAGTGCTACTATAATGACGCCATAACATTTAATTAAGAATAGTTTAATCATATTAATTATTTTTGTCTAGATTTTAATATTTTTTTAATGGATATATTCAAAGTAAATTGATCACTTATCGTGGACATAGAAAAATGGACCTTTTCTCTCCTATTTATCACTCGACCGTCAAAATAAAATGATAACCCAAGTTTGTCTGTACACTTTCGAGTCATTACTGTCCGTACACATAGGCTGACACGTGTCCCCAGAAAACGCGGTTTCTTCCTTCCTACTCTAAGCTCCCCGTTATATATATCCTCTCTTCAACCTCTCCTCCTTTCATATTTGTTCATATCTTCTGCTTTTTTTCACTTCACTCTGCAACTCTTAACCCAGTCGATCTTCTCTAAAGAAAATGCTATAGAACAAGTTTTATAACTCAAACTTTGGAATCTTTTAAGCTTTAGCCTTCTAGTTTTAGTTCATTTTGAAATTTTCTGTTCTGAAAAACTTGAAAAAATGGCTGCATCTGATAATTTAATGACTATGGAGCCATGGGCTTTTCGTTCTGCTTTTGCTGATTCTTGGTTTGCCGACGTATTTTCCAGAGAAACTGAAAGTACGTTAACCAAAGTGCTCCAAAAATCTCTGTCCACCCAACAGTCGGAAACGACTCCGGTTCAGACTTCGACCGGTTCTGGACGGACCGTTTCGGGCGGGTCTGAGAACGAGACAACCGGTTCGAACCGGCGGAGTAAAGTTGGGGCGAGCGGGAAAATATCTAAGAGGAAGTCACGTGCTTCGAGGCGCAATACGACGACGTACATAACAGCTGACGTGGATAATTTCCGGCATATGGTGCAGCAGGTGACCGGTGTTCAATTCGGTGGGAACGGGCAGCTTCCGGTTGCTCATGTTCTGAAACCTGAGCCTCAGCGTGTTGTTAACCGGCTACAACCTGGCAGCTGTTTTTTGCCAACTCTTGACACGTCAGCTTTCTTATTGGACCACGTCACTCAACAACAGCAGATAGTGGACTCCACTTCAGCAATCGGGTCAGTCGCTGCCCCTACTCCGCCGTCGGATATGGTGGTTGACGGCGGCTCATGTGGCTTTGATTTTAGCTCTTTTTCTGGGTTTCCTACCCTTGAGTCTTTCATGGAAAGCAATGTAGTATAATGTACCAGGCCCTTTTTTGTAATTTCAGCTAAGGGTTTAGATTAGGAGAAGTAGGGGGAAGGGTAAAATGGGAAACATCTTGTTCATAGTTTAGCTAATCTCCTTTATTTTCTTTGTTAAAATCTTTTTGAGTTAAGGAGATGAAGGAATTATGTGTCAAGAAAATTAACTTTTCGTGTACGATGTTCCGATCATAATGTCACATCCTTTCAATTTCATGGTTCAATGTCAATATCTTGATCTTAATTTAAGCCAATTTAAGTGACACAATTCACTACACATG